AGATTGTCTCCACACTCCTATTTCTTGCAGCCATCACTACGGTACATTTGAAGGGCGGGCTGGGGAAAGAGAGTTGTTTCTGTCAAAGAAATGTATGGCAGTAAGCAACAAGCATATCATGAATTTCTACGGTAGACCAAACAAAATGATAAAAAAGAGTTTTGGGTCCTAGTTTATTCCATACAGAACATGTCTCATGCAGATTATTGCTACAGGTATAACAAACCAAGCTGAGTCTCTTAAACACCTTTGCATTTCCATTGCACTTTGTGTTTTCATAAGAAATGCTTATCGAATCACAGTGTGTACATCCCCACTGACTAGTAGCATAATATGCACACAGCGGATAAAAATGTTTGCACATAGGTGAATGCATAGTGAGTCTGTGGGGGGAAAAAAGTGAAATGTTTGCCTCAAAAAAGAACATATAATGTTATTGTATTCTGCCTGTACACATAAATCAACTAAAATCTTCAAGAGAATATGTTTCTATTCTAAGGATAAAGTAAATATTAGAGAAATCTAGGGAAAATGTATCAATTCCAACTTAGCACCTTTTGTTTAGAAAAGGCGACTTCTTTCATTGAATACCTTAGCTACTGAGGGGCTGAGGAGAACGGTGGCTCCTTTTGACCTCTGAGTATAGTATACACTTTATTAGGGTTTATAGCCTAAGAGTTAGCTTCTATTACAACCCAGACATTGTATAGATACATCTCTTAAGGGTCTCAAGATTTACCATGTAGAGTGCTCTCAGAACTAATTAATACTCTTTCTTGTGAAAGTTTATATACCAATAGAAAGTGCATATAAGGAGGATATGAGTATATATCTATTTCCAGGTAGAAAATTTACTCTGTTCTTTGTGAAAAGGTTGCCAATGGACTTGAAGCCAAATATTTCCACAAAGAAGTTAACACTTCTTTCTTTAATGTAATTAAACTCAGAATTGGATAGCATTTACAGTGAATTACTATCAAAAGAAAACCCTATCATCACATTTGGAAAATATGTTCACTGTTTCATAGAAACCTGAATAAACTTACCTGCTACAGAGGAACAGGCCACCACCCTCCTGTTCTCATAAGCGGAGTGTAACAGAGTCATCAAAGCCCTTACATCTAACTTGTAGCCCCAGGGACTCAAACCCTGGAGAATCCCTAGCAACTTATTTCTCACAAGCATCAAAACAGGTAATCAAGGCAAATGCTAAGTCCCTTGTGTCATTTTTAATGACTAGAATTTCTTTGAAATTACACAGAAAAATTGCTGCTTGAAATGGACTATCGGCCTTTGTTTGCACACAACCAAGCACCCTCTAGAATTAATAAAGCTAAGGTATAACCATAGTTCTCAAATTCTGCCTCCTCTACACCAAAATTCAGTAGGCCTCTTTTGATTTGGTGGACAGCATACACCCATTTTAGGCAAGTTACTCCAACCCATTTACAAAGTTACTCAAAATATCGTCCATTTTTGTGAATCCCAAAACAAGTCCAGTCTGCCATGCCAGCTTCTGTGTTATTTTGAACAAATGACCTGATTACATGATTGTCCTTGAAGTGTATTCACAGATAAGGATTGTGCAGAACTTTGGAAAGCCCTGATAGTGAATTGCAGATTAGACCATTAGAATTTTAAAACAAAGCAGCAACTTCCACAGCAGATAACTATTCACCTTTTGAGAAACAGCTTTCTGACTTTTTAATGGACCCTAATATGGACTAAATGAGTGACCACAGGCTACCACATTCCTATGCAACCTACACTTCTTCAGCTGGGCGTTGTCTATCCCACCAACCCATAACATTAGACATACACAGCAGTCGATAGCATTCCTGTTCCTGAAGACACAAGTAATTTACATGAGTAAGTGGTTCAGGTGCCCATGATCCATGCTATTGTTGCTTTGTCCTTCAAAGACTGAACTTATAATGTATCCTCATGAGGAATTTTTTATGACAACCTGAATATGGAAGAAAGCATTGGGACCTCATTTTTAGATGATTCTATAAAAATGGACAGCTGTGACACTCTAGCCCTGTCCTAGGGTGTCCCTGAAAGACAGTGGTGAAGAACAACTCACCTAGTATTCAGAAATTCAAACAGTGTGCCTGGAATATTGGACTAGCCTTTCACACCTCAGTTATGGGACAAGCTCTGTTGGCAATACTTTAGAGCAGTGGTTCTCAACCTTGGCTGCACATTAGAATCACCTGGGAATCTTTTTAAAATCCTGATTTCTGGGCCTCATCCTCCGGAAATTCTGTTTCTTTGTTATGGGGTGGGGCCACAACAATAGTAACAAAGAAACAGAATTTCCGGAGGATGAGGGCCAGAAATCAGGATTTTAAAAAGATTCCCAGGTGATTCTAATGTGCAGCCAAGGTTGAGAACCACTGCTTTACAGGAATGGAATAAAGGCCTCCAGAATGTGTTCTGTGCTCTAAATCTGCAACCAGTATACAACTGCTATTTCTCCAGTAATTTATGGGACCCGGAATTTATGGGTGAGGGGTGGAAATGGGAGTGGCTTTTCTACCTGTTAATCCATTATGACCCACCAGCAAGATCCCTGCTTCCCATAAGGGAAACCATGAGCTGTAGTAGTTTAGAGGAGTGATACTTCCACTAGGGAGCACAGGAATTGATCCAGCAAGCTGGAATTGTGACTTGTTTTAGCAAGAAAATGTGTTGGGAGTGAGGTTAAATAGATTCTGGAGCAGAGGCACCAAGATGCCTTATAGCTTCTACTTCCAGTCTCTCCAAACACTGTTCAGAGGTTGCTACATAAGGCAGGCAGGGTAACCTACTAACACAGCGGTTCTCAACCTGTGGGTCTCACACCCTTTGGGGGTCGAACGACCCTTTCACAGGGGTCGCATAAGACCATTGGAAAACACATATATAATTACATATTGTTTTTGTGATTAATCACTATGCTTTAATTATGTTCAATTTATAACAATGAAAATAAATCCTGCATATCAGATATTTACATTACGATTCATAACAGTAGCAAAATTACAGTTATGAAATAGCAACGAAAATAATTATGGTTGGGGGTCACCACAACATGAGGAATTGTATTAAAGGGTCGCGGCATTAGGAAGGTTGAGAGCCACTGTACTAGCAGATAAGAGACTTCATGGGAGAATACTGAGGCACCCCAGCCAACAGCCAGCACCATGTCACCTAACAAAACAGTGGCATCATTATGGAAATTTAGACCCAGAAGAGCTCCCAAATGATTGCAGCCATGTAATGAGACCAGGTGTAGCTCTCAGCCAGAAGGATGGAGCACAGCTTCTGGGACATGGCGACTGTGTAAGGTAGAGACTTACAAAAGCCAGGAAATGGTTATAAACCAGCACTGCTAAGAATGACTTTTTTCTTTTTCTTTCTTCTTTTTTTTTTTTTTTTTTTTTTTTGAATTGCATGTGGTTTAGGAGGTAAGAGCAAACAGAAGTATGCATCTTTTGTGCACTCTATATCCCCTTAAACGAGTCTGGATATTATGATATTATGATAAAGTTATGTGGGAACCCTGGTTTAAAACTGAAGAAAATTACAAATAAAATATGCGTTTACTTTATGTTTTACAATTGCCAACTTGCTCACACATATAAGATTAGGTTTTGTGGTATGTCTTTTTTTTTTATTTTGTTTTATTGCTTAAAGTATTACAAAGAGTAGTACATATGTCTCCTTTTTTCCCCCTTGACCTTCCCCCGGCCTCCCCTACTTGCGGTATATCTTTATAGTATAAAGTGAAGTCAGAAAGTTTTATTTAAGAGCAACACACCGGGTTAAGGCCAGCAGATGAGTAATAAACGTAGAGGACATTTCAATCAAAACAGCTGCAATAATGCTGTACCTGTCTGGCAGATATGCCATGCAGGTAAAATGTGTAATTACTTAAAAGTTAACCTTTAAGAACAAATCAAAATTATGCAAACTATTTCTGAAACATATTGTGATATCCTCTGTGTTAACAAATAGAATTACAAAATCAAGTTTAACACATCAGATTGCAAGATTAATAACTACAGATTTCTCATTTTTGGTAATCCTTCTAGAAATTTCTATAAAATCAACATTTTTAGTTGATATTCAGAGTCATCATGTTTAACACCACTTCCTACACTATAATAAAAGTACATGAGGCCCTGTGGAGAGACTCAAGAAGTTGACCAGATCTGAGAGATTGTCTCTAAGCTCTCATTGCTAATCTTCTATATTCACACTCCTAGCTATAACATTTCAGAATTCATCTATAGCCCCAACATTCCCATTGCTTAAATGGAATTAAAGAATGATTTAAAAAATAATTTGCCATGCCAACTTAGAGTCAAGAAATTTGGATTTCATGGTCTCATATTTACTGTTAAGTAAATTTCCTAGAGTTGCTACAGTAAATTGCCCCAAAGTTGGTTGTGTAAAACAATGGAAATTTTCTCATACTTCTGGAGACCAGAAGCCTGAAATCAAGATGCCGGCATGGTATGCACCCTTTGAAGATGCTAGTAGAGAATCCTTTGCATCATCCGGATTCTGGTGGTTCCTGGAGTGCCTTGGCTGGTAGCCGCAAAATGCCAATCCCTGCCTCCATCTTTTCTAAGACTTCTTCCCTGTGTCTGTTCTTGGGTTCTTTTCTCAATAAGAACATGCTCATTTGGATTTGAGCCTATTCCAGTATAATCTCATCTCAATCTTTACCTTAATTACATCTTCTAAGAGCCTATTCTCAAATAGTGTCACATGCTGAGCTTCTGGATGGACATGGATATTTTATAGGACATTATTCAACCTACAACACTATGTCACTTCACTTATAATTCACACTGAAATGAATAGAAATCAAATTATCACATAAGTAGTTATTGCAAGAGATTTAAAATTTTGGTGAATTGCCTAAGTAATTTAAATCATCATCTCTACTAGAAGCACTGAACAATTCTCAATATAGTAAATCAAATTCCTCTTGGAAATATAAATCTTCAACAAAATTGTATTGAGCGATGAATTAATTTCCTGACACTCTCCTTCACAACTTTGTTTCTGAAGCTGTATATCAGAGGGTTCAGCATGGGAATTACCACTGTATAAAATACAGAACCTACTTTGATTATGAGCCTTGAGTTTTTGGAGTTGGGTACACAATAAAGGAACAGGAAAGTCCCGTGGAAAATGGTGATGGTAGTAAGGTGAGAGGCACAAGTGGAGAAAGCTTTTTGTCGCCCACTAGCTAAAGGCATTTTTATGACAGTGACAACGATGAAAAGGTAAGTAGTGAGAATGATTACCAGGCTGCTCACCTCATTTAATATGGCTATGGCAAAGCAAAGCACTTGGCTGATGTAGGGATCAGAGCAGGAGACAGAAACAATGGCAGAGTGCTCACAGAAAAAATTATTTATGATGTTAGACCCACAGAAGGATAATGCCTGGAGAAAATAGGTGAGTGGCAGAGAAAATACTATTCCCAGGGTGTAGGGTCCAGCTACTAGTGATGCACAGAGCTTTGGGGACATGACTACCGTGTAGAGCAGAGGACTACACACGGCCACAAATCGGTCATAGGCCATCACTGCCAACATGAATGTTTCTGCCACCGCAAATAAACAAGCCAAGAAGAATTGCATGATGCATCCTGGGAAAGAGATGGTTCTGTCTTCCACAACCAAGTTCTCTAGCAGCTTGGGTGTAATAGTAGTGGAATAACAGAAATCTACAAAGGACAAGTGGCTGAGAAAAAAGTACATGGGGGTGTGAAGCTGGGGACTGGTCCTGATGATCATGATCATGCCCAGGTTTCCCAGCACAGTGACCATGTAGACGATCAGGAATACCAGGAACAGGGGCGCCTGGAGATCTGGAAAATCTGAGAAGCCCAAGAGAGTGAATGTGGCTCCAGCACTCCGATTTCCTTCAGTCAACAACATGGTTGTTACTGGAGAACATCTGAAATAATGATAAAAATAACAACAATGATAATAATGACAGTACATTTATATAACAGCTACCATGTGGCAGGGAAAAACATTAAGCTCTATTAACTTCTTTTTTGTCCTTATTGTGAAAGTATTACAGATGTTCCCCCTTTTCCATTATTATGCTCAGCGAAATAAGCCAGCCAGAGAAAGATCAATATCACATGATCTCACTTATATGTGGAATCTAAAGAACAAAAGAAGCTATATTAACTTTCATCTCCAAACAGCATTGGAGGCGATAATAGTTCTATTTGCATGTGCAGCCTATGAGAGATGGCTCTGTCTCCCACAGACCATGAGTTGAACCATAATGTTCAACCTGAGGATCATAAGAAAGGTAGCATCTGTGAGTCACCACAAGAATTTCCAAGCTTTGAAAAAATAATGGATATTGAAGGAATATAACCCTGTAGATCTTCAAGCTCTTGACTAATGAATCCTGAAGCTATAATAATTGGCTTAGTGTTCTACAAACCATGTGGCAACCTGATAAAATAATGAAGTTACAGCTTTGACATGTTGTTCCCTCACACACCTGCTTTCTTTCCTACATAAGTGTTTTTCTCACTGTCATTGATGCCATCCACATACTGATGTAGATTCCTTGTTAACTTTTAAATGGCTATTATTTTTATTTTATAATTTTATTAGGCATATCAGAGCATTAAATGCTCATAGGATCTGTGAATTGGAAAGCAACTTAAAATGTATTTTGCTCAAGCCTTTCATATTCTCTAGAGCAGTGGTCGGCAAACTCATTAGTCAACAGAGCCAAATATCAACAGTACAACGATTGAAATTTCTTTTGAGAGCCAAATTTTTTAAACTTAAACTATATAGGTAGGTACATTGTTATTAACTTAATTAGGGTACTCCTAAGGCTTAGGAAGAGCCACACTCAAGGGGCCAAAGAGCCGCATGTGGCTTCCAAGACGCAGTTTGCCGACCACAGCTCTAGAGGAAGCTAGAGAATGTGGTAATAGTTACCAATGGTTACATAATCACCCTCAAAATTTCCTGCCACTCTAAGTATTGTAGATGGGTTTTGATTAAAGTTACATATGTTATTATCTTGATTGGAGTCATGCAATCTTTGCTATATTAGTATATGTGATTTTGAGAAAGCAAAAGCAACTTGTACTCACAGCAGTTCATAACTGCAGAAATATCCTTAATCATTTAACGAATTTTTTTCTTTTTCTTTTGCAGTTTATTTTGGGTTCCTTCCTTTGCAACTAAAGATTCATGATAAATCACACGTTATCTCATTTAATCCTGCAACAAGTTTTGTTTGTTTTCTTTTTAAATATATTTTTGTTGTTGATAGTATTACAGATATCTCCCATTCACCTCCCCCTCCCTTTACCATTAACCAATAGCATGAACATATCTGAAATGTTCAGGTTAATATAAGACAATTAGTATGAATCTCATAAACAAAGATGCCATTTTAGTTTTGCCTGACCAGATCAAGGTAGAAAGAAACTATTATACCCTTCATAGCTAAATGCCCCTTGTAACATTCCAAACATGTATTTCCTACATGAGGAAAAGGGAATCAGCAGGCACAAGGGGTTAGTGACAGATCAGCATGATTTAAAAAGCATGGTTTTGAAAACGTATATTTAAATTCAGTTTCAGGCTTTGTCATTTACTATGTGATCCTTGGTGAATTACTGGAATTGTCTAAGCCTCAATTTCTTTATCAATAATATTGACATGGTAATAGATATTTCATAGGTGTGTAAAAATTAAATTAGGAAATGATATTAATATACTGAGCACAAAATCTGGTAATCATGGAATCCAGGAGATGCAGATTTCTCTATCCTCACCTCTTTTTATCCTTAGTACTATGACTAATTGGTATTATTTTTAAACCCTGATATTATTTTTTTTAATCTAAGAAACAGATCAAGGATGAAAGTGGGCAGCAATGAATATCTAGGTACAATCTGAAATGTCAAAGTCTAGCTCCGCTCTTTCCTGGATCTCCCCTTGGCCCTATTTGTCTTAATTCGCCATTTACTCTCCTTCCACAAGTTGCCTCTGTTTCCCCCTTTGCTTTCTCGTTATTATCTGACTCTTTCTTGTCCTCTGTTTACAACCGCAGGTTGGTGCCTTAGGGAGGCTTAGCGAACTGCCATCGTTCTCGGGTGAATTATGGGAGCCGGGTACCAGCCAGCTTCCCTGCTGCCGGGCTGCACTGTGAGAGCATCAATTTCTTCTTCCCTTGATTGCGGTGATTATCATAACAGGCTTTGCTCTGAAAACTTTGATTTCTTCCTAGTAGCTAATTTATCAAATCTAAATTCTTCTGCTCAGTTCTACCTAAAGCCTTATCCTAGCTACCCCCCAGGATTCAACCTTCTTTATTCATGCCAGATAAATGGGAGAGAACACAAGATAGAGCACGGAGCCTGAAGCCAACTCACCTGAAGATTCTGGTTTTTGCTATTAATAGTCTCCAAGGAAGTTCCCACTCAGAATTCAAAATTATTTTAAATCTAAAGAAGTTGGTAAATATGGAAGAAGTTTACAATAAATTTTAATTGCTGCAATGGCAACATTTTTCTTTCTTAATGTCCAGAGAGAGAGAGAGAGAGAGAGAGATTGAAATTTATTTGGAAAATGAATCTGACTCCCAGAACTTATGTAGGGCTTATGTATACTTCCATGACCTTGGGGATTTTGACCCTAGAGAATCTTTAATGAATTATTTCTTTTTATATCACAAACTCACAAATTAGGTTGAATGCTCTCCTATATGTACTTTTTATAAGAATGCAATTTCTTCTAAATCACTGGAGATGATGCTTCATTAAGCCTACCTTATAAATTTCTTTTAAAAATGTAATTATATAAAATATACAAATTGATGTAGAAAATATGGTGACTAAAGTAAACTGCAAATGGAAAAATAAGTAAGCTAAAATGCAACTATTCAGAGATCATTTCTGTTAACATTTGCTGTGTGATTTTTCTATCTTTTCTATGCATAATGTGTGAGTGTGTGTGTGTGTGTGTGTGTGTGTGTGAGCACGCACGTGCATGCATGCATTAACATACATAAATAATATAACTTTTGTTATGCCTTTTTCATTTCACATAAAATAATCATTATTGTTCTTGGAAACATTTATTTATTTTTTTGAAACTAATGTGTTATCTTCCATATATGAGCAATCTACCCTTTAAGCTTATATTAACCTAATTGAATAATATAATCTCTTTGTGCCTATACCATCTTAAAAATGAAAAATATATTTTAGAAGCATGTTTAGCTCTCTAAAGCCACTGGGTACCAACCAATCCATTGGTCTCACTATGCCCAAATACCACCCAATTAGATTCATGTAAGTTTTCCCTGGGCCCTTAACAACCAACTCACCATTGCCACACTCTCTACAGAAACCCAACACAACAGAAGCTAATTTCTTACTTCATTTTTATTGTTGACACTATTACAGATCTCCACATCCCCCCTTTGCCCACCTCCACCCAACCCCCACTCCCCCTTCTCTCTGGCCATCACCACATTATTGTCTGTGTTTATGGGTTATGCATACATGTTCTTTGGCTAATTTTGTCACCTTCTTTCATCAAGCCCCCTCCCCCACCTGATTCCTCTCTCCTCTGAGATCAACAGAGGCTATTGATCATGGGGAATAGAATTATTTATCCAGAATCTTAGTGGGTCTGCATTGTTACTCCCCCCATAGGATTGGCTTGAGTCCACACTGCATCTGTTCCTCATCACTGACACCTCTACACCCTGGACCAGCTCTGGACCCAATTTCTGCACCAGAGTGACGCAAAACTAGCAACTTTCTATGTTACCTGGTATATGAATTTTCTATGCTACCTGACAAATTACCATCTACTCAGTGGCTTAAACTAATACACATATTTTATATCACACTTTCTGTAGGGCAGCAGTCTGGGCACCACGTGGCTGGGCTTTCTGGACTCCATAGAGAGTCATTAGGGTACAAATTAGGTGTCAGCCAGAGCTGTAGTCTCATAAGAAAATTAGCTAGAGAAAGCAGAACACTATTTTATTTAATTCTGTTTACCAGTCAGCAGAGGAGGGTGTGCACAGCATATATGGGGCAAGAGTGTACTTCTAGTGCTCAGCTTGGGTGATAAGGGAGACTGTGCTACTGGATCCTATAGAAATACTACATCTGGCTACTCTGCCAAGCCTGGGAGACAGAAGCTCTACCTAATACATACAAACAAACACAGGGAGGCTGCCGAAGTGAGGAGACAAAGAACATGTCTCAAATGAAAGAAGAGAACAAACTCCAGAAAAAATAACTAAACAAAATTGAGACATGCAATCTTCTAATTGCAGACAAAACACTGGTTATAAGGATGCTCAATGAATTTAGTGAGAACCTCAACAGTATTAAAAAAAAAAAAAAAAAACCGAACCAGCCAGAAATGAAGGATATACTAACTGAAATAAATGACAATTTACAGGGAATCAATAGTAGACTAGATGTAGTCAAACCAAATCAGTGATTTTGAATATAAGGAAGCAAAAAACACCCAATCAGAACAGGAAAAAGAAAAACAATAATCAAAAAAAAAAAAATGAGGCTAGGGTTAAAAGCATCTGGGATAATATCAAGTGTACCAACATTAGCATCATGAGAATGCCAGAAGGAGAATAGAGGGAGCAAGAAATTTAAAACATATTTGAAAAAAATAAAGACAGAAACTTCCCTAACCTGGTGAAGAAAATAGACATACAAGTCCAGGAAGCACAGAGTCTCACTCAAGATGAATCCAAAGAGGCCCACACCAAGCCAAGACACATCATAATTAAAATGCAAAGGTTAAAGACAGAGAATCTTAAAAGCAGCAAGAGAAAAGCAGTTAGTAATCTACAAAGGAGCTTCCATAAGACTGTCAGCTGATTCATCAACAGAAACTTTGCAGGC